ATATTCGGTAATCATCCATGCCTCAAAGGCACTGAACAGCAATGTCGTTGCAATGCCTCCGAACAGACGGCCGATATACAAGATATTGAGGTTGCGGCTCAGCATTGTAAGACATGTGATACTGTAGCAGACGCAATACGCGACACAGGCAGCTCGTCTGCCGTAGCGATCCGCAAGCTGCCCTACAAAGGGTGCACTTGCAGCACCCGAGACAAAACCTGATGCGTACAGAAGTGCGACTGTGTGTTCTTCGAGCTCCTTTTCGTACTTGTAGATCGCGTAGGTGTATGGTCCCTGTTGGGTTGCCTGTGTCAGGGGAGTCTGTAGAAAGAAGTGGCCAGACATACTTGAAGCCAATCTGCTGCGACAACCAAGGTGTAGACGAGGAGGAACCGTCGTTTGAACCCTTGAGCAACCGCTTCACCTTGCTCATCTCGTGGGGCACCACGACGACGCCGCTTGCGATCATGAGTGTAATGTCGATATATGAAATAGCACGAATTGGCTACAATCAAGACGGCCAGGTTCACTTGATAGAAGTCCATGGTGATTTGGTCAGTTCACCTCTCTCCTTTCCTTCTGACTACACTGTTGCAATCGATGGCGAATCTCTATGGAGAGCAGCTGGGTGAAGGAAGTGTTTTTGGTGAAGGAGGTACTCTATGCCCGACTTACGGTTGAAGTCGTCATGCTTCCTTCCTATCTGCGTCGTTCTTTCCGATTCAGTCCATTGCCTGAACAGCTCCTCCGTGACTGCCTGCCGGGATGACAACCCACCAGAACAGGGGCATGAGGCATTTGAGTCCAAGGAAAGAGCCCGGGGCATTCCCCAACTCGAAGAAAGAGTATCCATCTGCCTTACGAGACGGGGAAGGTAGGTAGGTAGGTAGGGTCTTTCTACCTCCTTCCTCTGTACCTTATTATCGGCAGCAAAGGTTCGGTCAATTGCATCAAGCCTCAGGCACTCTTAGCCAAGGCCAATGAGAACGTAGATGAGAATGGTTACCATCCGATCGGCGTCGGGATATGGCAAAGACATTATCGTACAATCTTTGGTTCAAGCTGCTTCAAGACCGACCATCCATCATGCTTTGGCAGACAACAGGTTTACTAGAAAGCCAGCCAGTAGAGATGAAAAACCACTATGAGATATTATTTCTGCAGCAGAAAAGGTGACATCTCAATCATCGCCAGAAACAAAAAAGAACAAGAAAGAGTACCTATTATACCGGCCACACCAAGGAGGGAGGTGAGGAAGCAATGGTGAAAAGTGCAAAAAGATGCGGCCTGTGTGGATCGAACACACGACCTTCAGATAACAGGTGATTGAAGTTGGAACTTCAGTCTGACGCTCTCCCAGCTGAGCTAAGGCCGCAGGCTAATTGTTGAGAGAGCGCGAGACTTAGACAGCTCAAGTACCTACTGGGTAGCGCTGGGATGGGACGAAACGGTGTGGAGACGATGGGATTTTCTCGAGAATTTGACAGCCTGAAAGACCGCGGCAGTGGAAAATTACAGTGAGGCTCTGCGCCAGTCCCTTGAAGATGAGCATCAGCTTGATTACATAATCGCGACTGCTTTGGGGCATATTTGAGCAGACCAGGGAAGGATTACGAAATGCAAGACATTCTGCTTGCGAGGAGCTCTATAAATACTTCAGCCCAGTCAACCAGCACTTCAAGGCTTCCCCTTATTACCGGCTACAATGGCTCCCGTCCTCATCCTCACCAGCAGTTCTAATATTGAGCATCATCGCCAACCTGATTACTAACGTGGCACGCACGTTGCAGGTGGCACACGGTTTCCGCCCCACCGTTCTGCAAAATTGATTGAGGGCTGCCCAAACCCCGCCTTGCCTTGCCCAAGGGTCTGAAGTCCTACCCGCCAAGAGGCAAAAGTCCTGGGCTAGCAATTCTCTCCGATGCCCCTACGGACGGAAGAGGAGTGAGTGTGGCACGTTGCGTCTGCGAAGTTGACAATTGTACTTGTACTTGGCTCTGGGAACTACTATACCTTATTACTAACATTGGGCCAAATTGGCAAACAGTGCATACGTACTAACCGGGGTGTGCTGACAGGGGCCTCAAAGTACCTCAACACTCAAGATACATCTTTACAGTAAAGTTCTTTTCTTCCCAGTTTGCCTACGGCTTTTCCAGCTTCTGCTAAAATGGCTATACTATAGAACATGATATCATGAACAAAGTCCTGATGCTATGATAGACCAGCTATACTACGAAATATAGAGCATAGGTAGAGATTTGGCTCTTTGGCCTCAGCAGACAAGAACTACCCTAGAATTATACTCAACTCTACCCTGGTCAAGATCCTTGTCAATACCTCACCCCTGTTTGCCAATTCCGGGGCCTACTATGTACTATCCGACACGCGGGCAGCCTGAGGCCTCCCTCGAGAGGACTGAGCAACTGGAGCAGACGGGTCTTTTGACTCGACATTTGGAAACAAAGCGGGCTGAACAATTGATGGCTTGTCTCGATTCCGCGTGGCTTTGCCCCGCCACG